GCTCCTCGTATAATAAAATTGTACATTTTGAACACCTCCCAGTATAATGAAATGGTTCATTCTCGTAGGCTAGTGATTTTCTTTAGTTTAGTGGTAGAGATACATAGAAAATACACCTCCGAATTCTGCTGCTGTGGTTTTGATTTTAGTTTTATTCGAAATATTTGTTGGGAAGAGGATGAGGAGTTAAAATGGAACTAACCTTTCTGTTGCAGCTGCTGGCCATTGTGGCCTTGGGGTCCCTTTTAAATACGATTTCTCGGTTAAAATCACGTAATGCTGACGCAAACTTAAATCCTGTGACTAGATTGCGTGTTTTCCTTCCATCACGGGTAAAACTGATATGTTTTTAGACTAAACACTATAAACGTCTGTAGTCAAGCTACGCTGTTGAATAAGTGTTATACCTGAACGTGCCTATTCTATTATTAATAGACTCTCCCACACATAATAAGTAGTAGTAGTAGTAGCGGTCGCCAGTTGAGCTCAGTGGAGTTGAGCGAGTCAGTCGATGTCGGACATTGAAGTATCAACCATCACAACTAGATTGCTGCATCATTAACTTTTATTTCAAGTTTCTAACGTTTTGTACGTCGGTCCCTTTTAGGACCGACTTAGCGAAATACAAGCCTCCACTGTGAAAACTACTCTACAACAATAAGTTATATTCTTCTATAGTTCGAAATAATGTATACGCACGTATGCAAATCACGATAAATATGAGTTTTTTCTTTTATCTTCTCTGACGGAATATTTTCAGATAGCGAAGAAGCAAAAATTAAATTGCTGTGAGGAAAAAATTACGACAATAGAAGAGTCACTACTTTCTAAAGGCATTATCTGTGTTCGACCTTGTTCGTGATATTATTTTGGCGTATTGTTTCGAAAAAACAACTTGGTCTAACCACGACGTATATCTCACTCATAAGTCAGTAGCTTTCACGCAGACATTTTTTTCCTTTTAAAGTACATTTGCTAGGAAACTGTGTTTCTGAAGACAATACTCTTTACAGCAAGAAAAAAAATTCTTGTTGATGCAGCATTTGTGTTGCACCGACGCTGTTGTAAAGCAATGGATTACAAAATAGTTATAAACTCCAAAACACGGCCGCATTTTAAGGTGAACAACATGAAAATGCGTTTGAAAAGATGGAAGTAGAAAAAATATACATGATTAAACAAAGAGACTTTCCTTTTTTCTCATTCCATTTATTTCAAGTGAAATGGGAAAAGTTTATAAAGTTTTCGTAAAATGCATTTGTTTTTTTACATTTCGTTTCGCTTCAAGCTGTTCAATATAAGAATTAACAAGCATAAAAATCGAATGCCAAATATTAGTCAAAAGTAAATTTAGTGAATTTATAAATGTATTTTATAACTTACAGTTCCGTTTTTTTTCTTTTTTCGCTAACGTGTTTACACACAAACACACACACACACACACACACACACACACACACACACACACACACACACACAAAAGCGTATAATAGTAATTCTGCAAATATGAAGAAACGATTGCTGGGATGTAGATTAATGTTCGTAAGGAAAATTCTGACAAGGTGCGAATTTCAAAATGGGAGACGATATGTAATTCCCGCCATTTAGCGCTTAACAATTATAGAAACGAAACGTTAATTAACGTAACATTTCATTGAACGTGTTAATTATACACTGATAGATGGAAATATTGCTGAAAGCAATAAAACAGGAAGTGGTTGAGGGTCACGATCGTACATGTCATAAAGGGATATCACACACACACACACACACACACACACACACACACACACACACACACACACACACACACACACACATGCTGAGAGAGAAAGAGAGAAAGAGAGAAAGAAAGAGAGAGAGAGTTATGTCCTACCCAGCTTCAAGTGTTAGTATATATAACAACGGAAATTTATAAGATAACAGTGAATGCTTAAATATATACCAGTTGTTACCCAAAAGTACTGGGTATGACGATAAACTGCATCTGGCAGCAAGGCCTCTGATCAAAAGATTGGAGGTTGCTGTTGTTACCAGGTCTACCTTGATCCTGGGTGGTAGCACTTGTTAGGGTTCCAGCTATGGGAAGATTTTTTTTTTATTTGTTACGTGGTTCATTAAGAAAGTACAATACATTATGGTAAAAATACCAGCAATATATTTTTAAAAAAATGACCAGTAGTAACAATTTTTATAGCAGAATGACAATCAATCAGCACTAAAGTATAAAAATACATTTTTATAGTGAAATTACCAGCAATATATTTTATCATCTCTGAAATATATATATATATATATATATATATATATATATATATATAAAATATATATATATAAAACATACGCTTGCGCCAAAAGTATAAAATTATGTACAAAGTATCTGTAGTTGAAGTCATAAAATTGTATAAATATTTAGATTTTGGCATTAAATGACCTATGGAGGTGTTGATATGCCTCTAAACAAAACAATCAAAATCGCAATGAATCTAATACGTGATATGACTTTAAAAAATTATACAAAAACAAGCATTTTATTTCAAGGTGGACTGATCTCGAGAGATATGGGAAGTGATTCAACACTAAATATCAACAAACGTACCAGCAAGACGGAGTATCAAAAGGATGATTTTTTCTATAACACCGCATTTTTAACTATCTATACTTTTCGGCGATGTTTATTGTCTTAAAAAGCGATAATTAGAATGGCAATAAATCCTAAACATGTGGTGAAAATGAATTTTTACATTTTTTTTATTCTTGAGAATTACCAGCAAAAACCTAATGCCGATATAATGTGGACCTAAATCGTTCTGGTAAAATACACCGATAAGATGAAGATTAGCAAAAAAAAAAAAAAAAGAAAAAATTCTAATATATCATTCCGCGTTCAGCCATCTTGTTTTGTCTAGTTGTTTAGATCATGGGGAAAATTATTCGATTTAGTTATTTTTAGTAATGGTCAAATTCCTCGCCCTGTTTCCACTGAGTCCAAGTATACACTGCTCAGGCCAGGGATTGAACTCACAATTTCTATATCACTACATTTACGAATCAACGTATTAATTCACTAGGTTATTATCCCGTGGTTGTGATAACAACAACAAAGATGAGGACAATAGTCCACATGTAAATAGTATAAGTAACGGTAACTCATCATCTCAGAAATTTAGGTAGAAGGCGATCAGGTGATAACAACAACAAAGATGAGGACAATAGAAATGTAAATAGTGTAAATGATGATAATGTGGCACCATGCATACTGACGATTTGAAAGAAATATTTATAGATATATGATTTGCTTTTTTACGGTTTATCAACCATTTGAGGATTATTTAAGGCCGAAAAATATTTTAGGTTTTAAGAATAATTCTTTCTTTGCATTCAAGCGATTTGGGAGAAAGAAGGAGAAAACGAAGAAGAAAGAAAGAAAAAGTAATACGAGACGGGTCATAGGCGAACACACACACACACGGCTTAAGAGACGAGAATAAGGAAGAAAAGGGTTATTGTTGATAGGTATCAAATGTCGAAAATATCTAGGTCACCTACGAACAAGCGTTGACCGATTTCCGCTTATCCACGAAAAAATGGAATTATGTTATCAATGGATGTCACCAAAAGAAGAAAACCCATTTTGAACATTGACGAAACACAGACAGTCTTGACTGGGTGTGGAGAATTAAAAATCCCACACAAGTATTTTTCACTGGCTAAGTTTTTCTTAGAAAAAATGACAGAAATGAGTTCAGCCCCGAACGGCAGGCAGAGTTCGTTCGCCCCAAGCGGGCAGAAGAGGCCAGTTCGTTTGGCCCTGAGTGCAGAGTTCGTTCGACCCAAGCTGGCGAGAAGAAGTTAGTTCGCGCACCCGACGGTAGAGATGAGTGCCCAGTAGTTCAGACTCTGGAGAGAAGAGTTGAGCCCCGGACGGCAGGCAGAGATGAGTGCCCAGTGTTGAAACCGCATCAAGATAGCTGACCAAGATTCACGCACACTTTTGGACTCTTCTTCAACCAAGAACAAGTAGTTTGAAGAGCGACTTAGAACCAGACCACTGAAATAAGTTTTTTTCGACTTTCGTCCAAAGACACACCGAAACACAAATTTCTTAGAAAGTAGACAACTTGAAGCGTTAAAATTTGCCTAGCGGAAGCGTCGTGCCACAATCCACAGAACGGGTCGGGAAGTAGACACAGTCCTATGTACCGAACAACTAGACATAAAAAGTTTGTTACCTTTTTCTTTGATACTTTGAACTTTGTGAGTTTTCATTTTATTTTCTTTTATACATATTTGTGTGTTATCACCCCCGTTGAACTCAGCTTGCATTACGGCCACAACCCCTGTTTGATCTCGTCTGTCTAGGATCAATTCACAACGTGGGTAGGCAGACTGGAGATCAGTGCTGTTACCCTGGTAACCAGGCGTTGGAAGCAGGTTGGGAACGGCGAGGCTGGTATTAATCTAACCAGATTCCTACCCGAATCACCAAAGGGTTAGAACGTCACGTTTGGAGCAGCGACACCCCGACGGAGCGGCGAGGAGCGAACAGCTGACGCCGCGGCGAAGACGTCACAATTGGTGCTGTTTAGGGACGTCACAACTGGCGCCGTGGTAGATCAGGATAGAACGTCACAGTCGGCGCTGCGACCGGGGGACGACGTCACAATAACTCCTCATCCCAGAAATTTACACAGAAGGCGATCAGGTGATAACAACAACAAAGACGAAGTCAAAAGTCTGCATGTAAATAGTGTAAATATTGGTAACTTCTCATGCCAGAAATTCAGACAGAAATTAATTGATTATGCTGCACCAATATTTCTAATAATGTGTGCCAACCGTTAAAATCAGAATTCAAATCTTTTTTTTTTTTAACTTAAACTAGCACCGACCATTGGCATCCGTGCAAAATATGTAAATCTCTGCTACAAAGCAGGTGAGATGATTTTTCTATCAGTTTTATTGATACCCAACATTTTCATGCGATCCTGTTGATGTAGACGCCTCCTGTGGGCAACCTGGTGTTTGACTGTCAGCTTTTGTGCGTTTCCAGACCCCCACCCGTTTCTTACTTATTTTTCAGTCGCCTGTGGATTCTTCCGCAATGTGAGTTTGTGATGTTTGTTACTAATTGTTTCTTAAACAATCGTCTGCCTTTGACAAGGAGAACGAACATGGGAAGCCAATCAAAAAGAAAAAGAAAGAAAATCATCTTGAAAATTTGTTTTTTGTCAGTTGGACTCGTATTTTTATATTGTTTCTTTATTTCCTTTCTTTACCGTCTCTCTGCTGCATTACATTTTCTCGCCAAATCAAAAATCGCTCAGCTTGAAGTACGTTTGATCGCAAAATATTAATTCCGGATGCATATCCTGTTATCCGTTGCTTAGTTGTTGAGCAAAAGCGACAGCAAAATTACCGCTCGTTATCGGTACAGCAATATTCTGTTAACATAGAAAATATGGTCTCAATATAGACTGCTATAAAACTTCATATTTAGCACAGAAGTAGGTGACATTTTAAGCTATGTTTGTTGCTACTGATATTGTAAAATTGGTGCTACCGTGTGTAACAATCCCTGGATATATTTATTCTTGCCTTAAAATGTAAAAGGATGCCTAAATGTTTTAGGTAATTCAAAAACCAAAAGAAGCGATCTGGGATTGCTAAGGAAATATTTGTCGCAGATTAATTCATTTGAATGCCACCTAAACTGTAAGCAATCTGGGATTGCAAAGGAAATATTTGTCGCAGATTAATTCATTTGAATGTCATCAAAACTGTAAGCAATCTGGGATTGCTAAGAAAATATTAGTCGCAGATTAATTCATTTGAATGCCACCAAAACTGTAAGCAATCTGAGATTGCAAAGGAAATATTTGTCGCAGATTACTTCCAAAACGCAGAGAACAAATCAATGTAAGTTCAGACTCGAATATCGGAGACAGAAAGAAATGCCGAAAACTCGATTCGCAGTTACTATCTCACAAATCACAATGCACGCAACCAGTCAGAAAAATAACTCATTCTCCGACGAAAGCGGTAGCCAAAATATATCCGAATTTTCTCCCCGATTTCTTCGCTATACCCGCCTCCTGATCTCATTATCACAGATCGAACAGCTTGGAGCAACTCTGCGTCTGTGGAAGCATCGGATTCGCAGATCTCAATTATCCGATCCATGTCAGACGATGAACCATCATCGGATTCGCTCGGGGATGTATCAGAATCAACGAAAAAGACGAAGATCTTTTACATGCCGTGGCATCCCGTCGACTATTATTGTTTGTGGGCTTACAATGTCCGTCACGCGACCCACTTGATACCAGGGAGGTACACCGGCCATGGGGGACCTTCACCCATACTCTGTTCCTAGAAAGTAAATGGAAAGGACAGTAAACATTACTAAGAGCTACAAAGAAGCTGTGGAGATCCACGATAACTTAAGTCTTGAAAGGACACGGCACATAGAAGACGTAGAAGAAAGTGGAATCCGTGATATTCTGAATAATAAATATACTTTTCTTTATTCGGGATAATCTATGAAGATGTTAAATCCTCAGGGTATTTCAATAAAGCTGCACACAAATTTAGTTAAATAAATCTGTGCAATGTCCAAGAACTTAAATTTAATTACTCCGATATTAAAACATCTAAAAAAAAAATGTTTTAACAAAATAAATCCTTTTTTTCACGGCTATTATCATTTTATGCATTAGCAATATTTAAATATATTTTCCTATTTCAATGTTACTATAATTTTTTTCCGGCTTTTCTAGCAAACAAGCTAACAAGCGTATACATATTGGATCATTACTATCGTGGTGAGCGCGAACGTTTATGCAAAATTATTAGTAATAAGCTCTGAACTGTACTGAAAAGTTCTTTATTCTTCCAGTTAGATCAGTGTTTCTGAACCTTTTTAAGCAACGGCACACCTAGGAGCAAATGAAAATATCACGGCACACTTAGCAAAATTTGTATACATTTAAATATGAAATAAAACCATAGACTTTTAAAAGAAATACACACAGAAATATGAACTTACTTTATTTCAGTGTTTCTATTCAACTATTTGTGCAACTTATTTAGTGTGAAACTTGTGCCTGGTGTTTTTTTTTTTTTTCGCGATTTCTTCAATGTTTAGTCGAATGTGCGATAAGCAGGCCCTCATTTCTTCTTCTTCGGTTGAGCGTAGTCTTTCTCGCTTCTTCGAGTTAACTCCTCTTCAAGACATGATATAAACTACAAACAAAATCCGAGTGAAATAAAACGGCTTTTAATATTAAACGCTTAAAAAGACCTTAATTATCGATTCATTTAACTCGGTGTTTCTCAATCTTTCTAAGCAAAAACACATTTAGGAGCAAATGAAAATATCACGGAACACTTCGCAACATTTTTAAAGGGTATACATTTAAATGCTATGAAATAAAACCGTAGATTTAAAAAAAAAAATACACATACAAACATAAACTTACTTTATTTCAATATTTCTATTCAACTATTTGTACAGCTTATTTAGTGTGAAACCTGTGACTGGTGTTTTTTTTTTGCGATTTCTTCAATGTTTGGTTGTTTTCGCTTAAGAGGATCGCGCGGCAGGCTAGTGGCACACACGGCGGTTGAGGATCATTGAGTTAGATCATCTTAACGATATTGCGCTAACAAAAAATCTCGCTAAGATGTGTCACTTTTGCTATATCTCAGTAACAAACTCACTCACAAACAGGACTTGGATTATTATGGTATAGATATTTTGTCTATATAATTTTGTTTTATTTGTTTTTGTCTTGAGGCGATATTAATAACAACGGTTTAATAACCAATAAATATATGAATTAATCAATTTTATTCTTAACTAGAGCAGTTATTTAAAACAATATTTTATTAACAAATGCGCCATGAACCTGTTTAAATTTGATATGCCGCTTCTTCAGTAATCATTGAAGCTGGGTGCAGAAAAAAAGTGACGTGGTCGAAAAGTGAGTTCGTTTTATAAAAAATCACAGACGAAGAAAAACGGTTGAAATAGCTATTTTCTTTTATTGATATGCTTCAGCTAGATATTAGAAAGGGGAAAGCGAAGAGTGTCAAATATAGTTCCCTCCTCATAGCGATGATCGGGAACGACTGCCACTACCTGGAAAAACACTTCATTTCTTATTTTTGTGATGTCAACGAACACTCGTTGCTACTTTTGTCATGCCAACGAATACTCGTTGTGACTTTCGTAAATGCTCGTTGTAGTAGAGACTTTGTAATCGCAGATACAACTATAGTACGCCGTTGAACAATATTGGTGTCAGACGCCTTTGAAGAATCTCGCACTAATAGTACTTGCCCGATAATACTCGCTCTATCAGTAATCCGTATAGTGATCAGAATAGAGGAATAGTATAATGAATAGAGTAGAGAATAGCGGTCCGTATTGTAATAGAGGATAGACTAGAAATGACGATCCGAATAGTAATAGAGGATAGCGTAGAAATAGCAGATCCTCTCGACGTCACGTGACTTCCCATATATGCGTTTCCTCTATGGCCACGTGGTCTATGGGATCACCTGGGTTTTTTCACTGGCGATCTATGTTCAAACTACACTGTCGGCAGCGACACTTTATTCCTATATAGCACTTATGGACCTGCCAATTTGATTAGGAAACAAAAAACAGCTCCCAATATACATGTATCCCAGACCAAAACATTTTCGTCGACACTAATTAGAAATAGATGATAAGAGTGATGTCCGCAAGTGCTTTGAAATGTCAATCCAAATTAAACGGTCACTTTTCAAATCTAAGGAGCATAATCATATATCTTTATACAAGAAGGTATAGATTTAAAATACACGATGTCCACGTTACAACATAACCAGATCATATCTGTTTGAACATTTGCAACATATCTTTATGATTATAAGGCGTATTATGATCAGTTCAAGCTGGTTTAGGTAATTATCCGGTAATGACAGCTTTTTTTTTAATTTTATGTCTGGACAGCCATATTGTTGAATAAGACGTGGTGTAATGGTTAACAAGTTTGTCTCGCTAGACAAATTACAACTCAATAGTGAGTTCGATCAACATACTTTCGGCCTCGTGTCAAACCTAAGCTACGCTTAGAAAATCACCATACTGTTGAATAAGGAAAGCTTCTATTCAGCTGTTCTAAATGACTGTCAAGTGTTACCAGCAAAAGTCCCTGAAAATACTTCATTGCGATTATGGTGCAATTAACAGTGACAAGATGATTATAATACCAGTGGTTTCTTTTTCAAAGTTTTTCGTCATCAATCATTTTCATTTAGGAACAATAACATAGCTTAAAGCCTTAAAATGTCAAGTCTGTTATGGTCAGTTTGATTAACCACGGGCTTTAATCTATTAAGTTAAGCTTTGTTGATTGTAACTTCGTTTTTAAAATAAAGAAGAATTGTAGTTACAGCTAGGTGTTCTAAGAAAAAATAATGAAATAACTGTCGCCGTTACCGAGAAAAAAGATTAAGATTAAATCATAAGTAATGCGGCAGATTTAAATATAGACTTTTGCAGGAGCGTGTATTTAGTGGAAATTATGCAAATGACTTGAAGTTGAACATACAGAAATATAGCATCAGCACACACTAGAATCTTTCCAAAAAGACACAATCGGCAGCAATCTTTGGGATTTTGATAGTCCGAACCAATTCAGGAGATCAACTCTTGCGACTGTAAACAAAAGGAAATAACATTATCAGAAAACGGCAGACTACGGAATGAAACAAAAAAAGATATTTAAAATCAAAAACTGGATCAATTTCAGAACTTTGCCCAAAACAATTGGTGTAATGTGACGGTGCCTATATTACTTATAAGTAGTGAAGCACTTGAAATAATCGTAAAGAGACATATTAGCAGGTGGTGACCCTGGGGCACCCTGGCGTGGTGTAATGGTTAGCAAGCTTGTCTTGCTAAAACTATTATGACTGGGAAGTGAGTTCGATCCTCAGTGGGTTTCCTATAATTTCGGCTTTGTGCCGCATCTAAGCTACGCTTAGAAAATCAATATAAGCACTTCGTGACCCGGCTATACCAAGGATGCGCACGTGACAATAGAATAAAGACAGACTATAAATATTCTGAAAGACTTCAATGAGTAAAAATATTATTGAGACCTTGATGTCACTCGAATTAATCATGGAGACCAAACCTTGCAACTATAAACAAAATTAAAAGACTGTCAGAATTTTGCAAAGGAACTGTAAAAAAAAAAAAAAACTAGTGGGAGAAACATTTATAATTACTGAAACACTTGTCAGCGATCATAAGGGGCTTTTCTAAAAAGAAAGAGTT